GGCCTTGTGAAACTTATGTTCGCAAACTCTATTACCTAATTTATATCTAATTGCCTTTCATGAATAACATCCTTACATGATATTTATCCTTGTGTCAAACCTAGCGTGAAGTTTCCAAGTTTAAGTATCAGGAAAAAGAAGTGCTTCTCAGCTGGTCAATTCCTTCATTTTGACCACAAAAATACTGACTTTCTGTTTTAGAATTTTTACTCTCTTTAATTTTCTATTGATTTCTTTATACAGTTATTTTTGTTCTGTGTTATACTATGTATGTATTTCTGAATGCTGGCTTAAATTATTTGTGGAATGATGTGGATAGGAGTGAAAAAATAAGTTTTAGGCTAGAGAAGGCTTAAAAGGTCAGAAGAGAAACAAATGAAATCTATCTATGACAATAAACAAATACTAAGCTATCGATAGGGAGCCCTAGTGGTACAATGAGTTAAGTATTGGGCAGCTAACTGAAAGGTTAGCAGTTTGAACCCACCAGCCTCTACACTTCGGTAAAGATTTATAGCCTGAAAAACCCTCTGAAGCAGTTTTACTCTGTCCTATAGGTTACTATGCATGGGAATTGATGGGACATCAGTGGGCATTGTACCAATAAAACATTTTAAAAGATTTTGAGTCATTCAAGCCAAAAGTGTGTGCCCACCAAAAGGAGTGCCAAGAAGTTTTGAAAGGAGGAACAGTTCTTCAACAATTTTGTTCATGCAGCAAACACATAGGCTTTGTCCACGGGGCATGTAAGTCTGGCTTATGTTCCCAAAATAAGTGCCCTTTGTGCACGGAGCACAAGAAAATACACATGTTCCCAGCCTGATTAATGTGTGGATTTAATTTCTGCATTATATACTTGATTATAATGATCAACAATGAAGAGTATATTGCGAAGAACAGAATTGAATGTTCAGAGTCATTATTCACGTGCCAACATCTGTAACTGGCTCTTTTATGATTTTCCAGTCTCAAAATGCAGTGGTATAGGCTTATCTGGCTTTTCTGTTCACCACCTCTAAGGGGTTCTAGAAATTACTTTGCCAGCATACATAAATCTGGCAACTTTATTTCCATCTTCAAAGCAAGACTAGAAACTGAAACTGCAGACAGCTTGTGAAATATCAGCTCAATGACTTCCCTGAACTGTTTGATAACTCAGCGCCCTGTTTATTAAGTATTTTTAAAACCTCTTATATTGATAACTTTCTTTATAATCCTGTAAAATGCTTTACAAACACTCTTTTGGAAATCAGATGCAAAACCTAACCTCTTCAAGCCGGCAGATGACAACAGTGAGATGTTGCCAAATCCGAAGTCTTGTCTCAGATCACGCAGTGAGGAAGTGGTAGAGCCCTCACCAAGTGGTGGTTCCTTAGTTTCAGCGTCTGCAGAACTCCAGGTCCCAGGGAAGGTGCCATACCAGTGTTGAGGCCCCGCGCGTGCAAGGCAGGAATCAAGATCAATGAGATTTGCTAGGAATTCAAGTTTTCTGAAATGCCTCGCAAAAACCCTGTCCAAGACAGGTTGTGCAGGTGTGCTGTGTCGGCTCAAACTGGTACCACTGGGAATGCTTTGCAAAACAGGAAGGTGCAGTAAAGGGTGTGCCAAAGCTTCGTTGACCTGGCACTTCCCCACCTTCTTCCCTGGCTCTCCGCTGCCAGGTTCATTCTGGCCCAAAGCCTTCCCGTACCTGAACAGTGCTGAACTTGAAGGATTGTATTCCCAGCGCGTACCTTCCCTCCCCACCTCCCCACCTCCCCACCCCTTCTACCACCCGCCGCCCTGCAAGTTTACCTGACGAGTCTGGGGGTGGTTGGGAGGCGGCCTGTCGACCTGGGAATGCCCAGTGGGGGCACGTCCTGGAGAGTGGGCCGCAGGGCCGGAGCGTGCAGCGGAGCGTCGGACTCCGGGGCGCGGCGGCCCGGCCGGCGGGGTGTCGTGTCCGGATCCGGCCTCGGGGCGGCACTCTGATTCCGCGGCCGGCGAGCTCGGGCGGGCCGCCCGGCGCCGACCCACGCGGGCCGGGAACGTGTCTCCCGGTGACGCAGCCCCGG